CTGTTACTCCTACCAAAATCCCAGATATCTTTTATGCAGACATTTATCAGATGACCCCACAAATCACATAAAAATGAAAGTAACTTAGAATACTCAAAACAATCTTGAAAAGAAGAACAAATCTGGAGGACTCACACTTGGTGATTTGAAAATTTATTAAAAAAAAAAATACAGTAATCAAGATCATGTGATACCATAGGTCATTAGAACATAATTTAGAGTCCATATATAAACCTATGATCAACTAATTTTTGACAACTGGAAATAGAAATGTCAAAGAATAAAGATGGATGCTTATCTCAAGCCAAATATAAAAACTCAAAATGAGCCAAAGGCCTAAACGTAAGAGCTAAAACTATAAGACTGTTAAAAGAAAATATAGAGGGATGAACATTGTGTCAAAGAGGGTTAAGCTGCCGCTTGGGAAGGCTGTACCCCACATTAGAGTGACAGTTACGAGTCCCAGCTACTTCTTCCAATCCAACTTCCTGCTAATGCATCCTAAAAGGCAGCAGAAGACTCAAGCACTTAGGCCCCTACCACCCATGTGGAAGACTCTGATGGAGTTTTTGGCTCTTGGCTTTGGCCTCTCCTAGCCCTAACTGTTGTAAGCATTTGGGCAGTGAGCATATGGGCAGCAGATGGAATTAATCAATATCTGTCTCTGACTCTGTCTCTTGATAGACAGATAGATAGATAGATAGATAGATAGATATCCCTCCCTCCCTCCCTCCCACTCACATTCTCTCTCTCTGCCTTTCACGTAGATGACAGAGGAGACATTAAAACCTAGGATATGACAATGTTAACACCACAAATAACCAAAGCTCAACTGAAATTATTAAAATTTAAAAAGTATGCTTTATTGGCACTATCAAAAAATAGACAACCTACTAAATGGGAGAAAATACTGCAAATCATTTATTTGATATGAAGAACTCTTACAAATCAACAATAAAATGACAACTCAAATATACATAACATATTTTATAGATATTTCTCCGAAGAAATACAAATAGAAGAAAATAGCCATTAAGCATATGAAAAGATACTAGTGGCCACCTTCCCCAGGACTAGAATTTATAGCCAGTCTCCTGAGAGATATCAAGATCAAATTAGAATAAAAAATTGCAATAGCAATGGGTACATGTTTTGATTTGCCCTAGCACAATCTGGTATTTTGGGGCTCAGGGTAATTTTGCTCTTCCTCAGGAAGAATGTCCCCCAGACTTGCCTACGAACTGAACTATTAATCATTCAAAATTCATATTAACTATTGTAGTCTCTGTAACTCCTTTCCTGACCACACCAGTCTCAGGCAGAATAAATCATTTTTTTAAAACATACTTATAGCAGTTTTGTAATTTATCTGTATATCTAACTGTTACCCATTTCCCTAACTTGAAAGGTAACCCTTAAGGCAGAAATTTCTCTTTCATTTATATATCTTGTGCCTGAGGAATAGCAAAAATATGGTTCAATATGTTGAACACTAACATTTTGATATATTTATTACTTTGATTAAGTGATAATAACTCATACACAGCATAATTAAAATATGACCGTGACATTTCAATAACTTAAAGGGAATCTTCAGATAATGTTACACAGTTATCAAAAGTATAAAGTATACTGACATGTGTATGCATCAATCAATCTAGACTTACATAATAGAATTTACCAAGTAACATAAGTATAGCAATCCTGTAGCCTGATCTACGAACTAGTCGATCTCTCTCTGTCTACTCAGTAGAGTTTTCTGAAAACTGTCATGTACATTCTCCATCTCATTTTCCTGACTTCTCATTTTCTCCTCAAGCCTACAGAAACACATTTCCAGTCCTTTTTTATATTGAAACTTCTATGGTGAATACCATCAAATCACCTTATGTGACCAGAACCAAAGGACACTTTTTAATCTTTTTAATTTCTTAGGTTATTCTTTGATTTTCTGCTACATTAAAACACTGTTGGTTTATTCCATTGAGTTTGTCTTCTACTTTATTTTCTGGTTGTCCTTCATCTTTAACCATTATTTCTCAACCCCGTTGGAGGATCCTCTTCCTTTACCTCTATCGTAAGCACTTGTTTTACCTAGGGTTTTCTCTGTTGGTTTTTCCCATGTATCTTTTGATGATGCCATCTTCTCCTCCAGTTAACTGAAGGCTTTGGCTTGTTAAATCTGTATTTCTGAATAATTTACAGGTACCACAGAATCACTATCAGAATCTGAACTCACAGCTGCCCAGTCACCTCTAAATTTGGTTTGCTTCTTTAACTCAGCTTCTCACCTGGTATCCCACAACCACCCAAGCCATAAATGTGGTAGTTCTTTCAAACACTTTCCTTACAAACTGTTCCTAACTGACAATCAAGTATTGTCTATTTTCTTTATACTCAGCTCTTGTAATTTCTTCTTCCCATATTCTCTATCACTTCTTTATGTCAAGACCTTATCCTCTTTCCCTGGGCTATAGCAGCATTCTATGAATCGATTTACCTGCCTTTAGATTGGCCCATATCACATTAATATTCCAATTATTTCCACTTCTGCCAATGTGAGCAATGTGCATTTTATGTACAAATATATACTCTTGTATACATATGACACAAGTCCAGTTGCAACAATTTCCTAATTAAAACCAATTAGTGAAAACCTCACTGGTAAATGTAATATTTATTAAATTTTATATTTTTTACTTTGCTATCATATATATAAATCTAAGTTATATCCTTATATGCTAACCAGAGGTGCGTGACTACATTTTCTGTCTTCTGTTCCATTCAAAATTAAAAACAAAATCTGGTCACCAGTGATAAATGATATTTAGAACCAATAATGGGTAACAAAAATTACAAATTTATAAACACTGACTTTGTCACCTCATGCCCATCTGTAATTATCCCCTCCTAATTATTTTGTTCTTTCCAAAATAACCTACACAGGGATTTATATGGATATGCAGAGATCAACTGACAAACATAATCTCTGAGGATAATCAATAAAAAATAAGCAATAAAAATAAACTCCAAGCTCTTCCAGTCATCTATAGGTAAGTTCATTATTTTAATATCAAAAGGACTCAGAGATCAAAAAGATGGTCCTAAAGGAAGATGTGAAGAGCCCACAGTTACTTCCATACCACTGACCTTGGGACTAGGAGGAAAATTTCACTAAGTACAAGGTCATTTACAACACACTCCCATAACTATAATCTATGAAAAAAAAAATAAGGAAAAGGCCATCTCAGGTCTTGTTGGAGAAGATGACAGTGGTAACTTTAGATCCCCTAATGTCCAGATTTTTAACATATGGACTTTGGAATAAGTGGAACCAATTAGAAGGAAACTCCAGGATTGTTCTTTTGTAACTGGAACTTCAACATGTAGAATAAAATAGATTTTAAAATCAACATCAATTCTTCAAAAACTTTCCCAGATATTACTAGAATCCTACTAGAAGTAGAGTTTTGTAATTCCTAGAACATTAGATGGAAAGTGAGGACCACAATTTTTCTGTGAGTTATCAAGAAAAATTCTATCACAGAAAAACAAGTAACAAGTTTATAGCAAAAACATTTATAGGGGAAAAATGTAAGATAACTGATAATACTTCTTGCAAGTGTGTACTTTTCCCAGTGTAGTCATAAATCATTTTTACTATGGTTAAATCAAAACTATTTTTATATCTTGGGAAATACTGATTAAATGTAGAAGAGGATATTCAGGTATAGTATTGAGATAAAATCTATAACACATCAACTGAGCCTCCTGAAATATTTTATCAAAATTTTATATCCTAAAAAAACAAATAATTTTGAGTTATTTGCTACTCTATGTAATATACAAAATACATGAAGAAAGCAGAGCGAAAAGAAGAAATTAAATAAGCAAACTCTGAGTCTCAAATGTAGATTTCCATGAGGTAAAATATAAACAGCTTTAAAATTCTATAGAGTAGTATGCTAGATTCAATCCTCTGAACAGACTTACGCTTCTGGTAAGAAAAATTAAACTGAATTTTATTAAATTTCAATATTTGCCAATGCTAATAAAAAGTTGCCATAGTAAGAATAATTACAAAATTCAATTTTCTTTCCACAACCTTTTCACTATTTTATCACTTTGTTGGTTTACTTCAGAGAATTCTCAGCTAGCTAAAGAAATCTTTAGAAAGTCACTATGAAGATACATTTCTTCAAAGACTTTTGCTAAAACCTTGGAGGGAGGTATTTCCCCAGTAGTAACTACTTGGCTGTAATAGCTATGCTAAAGATATTGCCTCTACTGAGCCATTTTAAGGAAATGTCTAATTTTTTTTTAACCAGGAGCATAATTCTCTTCAGAGGATTCAGTATATCATGCTGCTCTGCAGAATTTTAAAGCTCTTTACATTTTATCTCATCAAAATCCACATTGGAAACTCAGATGTTACTCATCTGATTTCTTATCTACTCCCTGCTTCCCTTCAGTTGGTCACTTAGTAATCACGAGTCTATACACCTAAGAATGCAATAATAAAAAGAAAACCATATGGAGAACACACTCATTTAGAGGGTTAATTAGCTTTAAATAACATACCATAAAGGTAGTAATGGAGAACCTATGTATTTCCCTTATTTACATATGCTGATGCCAACTCAGCACACTCTCTGTGAGCCATTGCTCTCCACTTATAATTCAGCCCATATATATTTCAAAGCAAACAAATGAAACAAAACACAATTGCTGCTATGCTAGAGCCTTAAGAAATGTGTCCCTTTCCTTTAATTAATTTGATCTCTTCAATAGGGCATTAGAAAAATCACTTAACAAAATATTTAATCCAGAGCTCATGCTTCCAGATAATTTTATCTAATTCAACAGTAGCCTTTTTATTATACATACACCAGAGTAGCCGGAGTATCTACTCCTACATGCAAGGTGAATTAATAAATCTGTAACCAGTGATCTGTGTAACAGATGACATTTTCAGTCAATAAAACCAATGCCATACTCACGGTGAAGGTTGGTGAGGCTGGTTTTCAGCATTTCTTGGTGTTTTGCAGGCAGCAGGCTTCGCCATGTCCCTGACAACACACCTGGGGCGCATGATAGACAGCACAACGCACTATTAATTATAAAAAGGGTAGAACACATCTGGAAATTAAACATGGTACTGAACACACAATCTAAGGGAAAATCTTTGCAAGCCCCTTCAATATCAACCTTGGGGCCCTGGAGAAACCCTAGAGTTGGAAATCTTTGATCCAGGCTTCCTGAAGCTCAATTACACCCAAATATAATCTATGCTAGCCTCTTTATTTGATTTTCCTTTTAGCATCAATAAAATGATTGTCAGCAGCTTTCCCCATAGCAGAAAAGCTACTGAAAGCTTTGGCTTCACCATATGAAGACATCTGAAAGCTTAAAAATAGGAACAGCTGTTGCATTGATGTTTAAAAATTGAGCAGGATTTTCTGTAGCTTTGGCTATCTTACTGAAAGATACGGACATTTGTTTCACAGCATAAATCATCACGCAGGTCTTTCTGCTTATGAAAAAGAGATCTGAGACGTGTAAAGACATGGCCTATGTTCAAAATGCCCTTTATGGGGCGTAGAAAGTTAAGCCTCTGCCTACAGTGCCGTCATCTCATATGGGAGCTGGTTCATGTCCTGGCTGCTCCACTTCGATCCGACTCCCTGCTAATGTGCCTTGGAAAGCTGTGGAGGACCGGCCCAGGTCCTTGGACCCCTATATCCACATGGGAGACCTGAAGGAGGCTCCTGGCTCCTGGCTTCAATTGGTCCAGCGGCCATTTAGGGAGTGAGCAAGCGTATGGAAACTTGCTGTCTCGCTGTCTCGCTTGCTCTCTTTCCTTCTTGCTCTGTGTCTCTGCCTTTCAAATAAATAAATCTTTTTAAAAAATGCCTGTCACACTCTGAGAGGAAGATATGGAGAGATGGAAGGGGATGTTTATGTATAAAAAGTGTGTGTGTGTGTGTGTGTGTGTGTGTGTAAAACAGGAAGAGGAGTTTCCTCCAAAATTTAAGAGGAAAACAGTAAGTCTTCTATAATCAAAAAGGATGAAAAATTGCAGAGGGTGGTCAATATATCAAAGCCCCAAAGGGCAGCAGGAGAGGATATTCTCATTCTCATGTGAACAGAATTTAATGAGCACTGGAGAGAGTCACTGGCAAAAATTAAAAATAATACTTAAGAAAAAACTCCATCTGAGGCTGTATTTAAGAAGGTTCAGATATTCCTTCCCCTCAAATGCTCCAAACCAAACACAGCTTTATACAGGGCAGCCTTGATTACAGCACGGAGCCCTCACATCTTGGACTGTGCTAAATGGACACGCGCCCTGGGACCCAGGGTCCTCAAGCACGAATCTGTGTTTTAAGAGCTTTCACGGAGGCTTCTTGGAGATTCAACGACACTGCTCACAGTGAAGGCCAGTCATGTTATTCCAGAAGTGAATCACTGGTGAGGCTGCTAGATCAACTGTTTTCCCAGAGCTAAAAGGTGCATGGCAATGTTCTCCACTTCTGAAAGAAATGATACAGGACACATGGACACAGTTCACAGAGACGTGCACACACACACACAAACACACACACTGCTCTTTCCAAAGTCAAGGATGACTTAAAAATCAATATACAACTTGACAAGGAAAGAAAATGGTGTCATTTCAAAGCCTCAACACACCTTCCACCAGGGATCAGGGTAAAGAAATGGGGCATTTGTCAAGCACTGATGCTAACTTCTCAATTGCTTAGTCAGGAGATTTGAGTCGAAAGCATCCACTGTAACCATAAAGTCTTTTGTTCTCATTCCAGTTTACTTGGAGGCCAATCATGCATCAGTGTCAAGAGAACATTCAGGAACACAATTGTGAGGGAGGAGTAATATTCTAGGAAATTTGAGGTCTGAAACTCTGATCTAACTCATACAAGGTACAATGCCCAGGAAATTAAATTTCATAGCACTGGAAAATCTTCAGCAATTTTCACTCAAGTAAAAATAGTATATGCAGCATGTTTAATCTATATGCAATGGTTTGTGAAAATATCTGAAATATCACCAAGTTGGTAAAAATCTAATTATATCTGTGAGAAATCTTGGTTCTTCTTTTTACCCCTCAAGTCTTAGGTATTTATACAAAGCTTTGAAAGAAAAGAAATCTACCATTTAGAGTTTGTCTTAATATGCTTTGATGTGATTATTTTCTAACAAACATAAAGCATTAAACAGCACTAAGGATCAATTTCTAAGCAAAACACTTTTTTTTCTGTTTAAAACTTGGCAATGTCTTTGTAACAAAATGTCAAGGATAGTGGTTATGGTTTGAAATTACAATTGTTGACATACTGCTGCTGTGTCATGTACTACAGAATTTTTCTAACAAAAAGTTCATTTGAATTTCTGAACTTTAAAGTTTTATTAAGTAATGAAAATATAACATTAATTTTATAAACAATATATTCAGAATTAATTTCAATATGTAAAACAGGAAAGCAACACATTTTCTATACTAACAAATATTTTGACGACAAGGCATATATTCAGGATAAAGGAGATGAAGCTAACTAATCAATCTGAATTTTTAAGGGAAAGCATTCAGAATGCTTACTATTCAATAATTTTGGGAGGACTCCTAGCCATAGTAATATATATTCCTACATTTTCTAATCTAACTTCTTTTTTAGCTATAATTTCCTCTATATATTTTTAAAAACCTTATATTCAGAACAAGATATATAAAATATAATATACTCAAAAGGTTTTTGTTAGCTTGTGTGGATTAATATTTCATTAAATTTATAATTGAATTATATCACAGTTTAGAGGAATCAAGCCTTTACAGTTTTGACAATTTTAATGTATTGTATTGCTTAGCCTTAGTAATTTCCATTATCTCCCTTGTATCAGACAGACTTACTATAATGGTATAGATCCCTGATAATTTAAGAAACACAGTAATGTTATTTCACTATGATGCAGCTCTTAAGTGTCTGTCTCTGAACATGAGTCATTCATTTCATCAATCAGACATAAGGAGACCACAAACAATGTCAGAATGCTGACTTTCCAGAATTACAAAGGATTCATGGACTAAGTCAGGAATTTAACCTCTTAATCTTTGCAACATTTTTAATTACTCAGAGATTTATCAGACATGGACTTTTACAGCCTTCTCACTGCATGTGACCATTCCCTCACCACTGTAGCATCACTGAAGATTTATGCAAATAAAATATTCTGCAACCACCCCAAGGGACTGTGCCTCATGACTCCACCCTCTGCACTGCTGGGTTTTATGAATGACTGCAATCAATGCAATGAATGGCTGCCAACTGCCTACTCAGCCACTTCTACTCTTCCCTGCATGTACACATGGGAGAAACTCACATTGCCACAAGCCTGCAGATGAGGCTATGGTAAGGCTTTCATCTCTCTAAACAGGAACTAAATGTGCTTCCAGATACTTAGAGTATGTGAATTAAAAACTCTAAAAGCTTTCAAGAAACACAATTTACATAATTACTTTCTCTCTTTGACTTTCCATTTTGGTGCCTGCAGTCACTACCCTCTGTGCCTCTCCCCCTACCCACACCCCCAAAGAAAACCACCATGACTATTTTACAAATTCATCTGAATTCGAATTTTAGATTTTTTTTTTACCTTTGGTAAGTAACATCATTAAGCTAGTTACTGTGCAGGAAACTGCCAAATAATAGAAGATGTCATGTTTAATTTTTGTTCAAATCATAGGGTTTTTGAATTTTCTTATCATCAAAGGAGACAACAACTATATTCAAATACTACTGGGGAAATAAGTATACTTCTTTTAACATCCCAACTGTTGTACTATTTTGAATTAGTCCTAATAGATATTAAGATAGTTAAAATGATGTAAAATTGGGAAAATGAAACAGTTTTCAAATACCTAATTTTCTGAATTTCTGATCAGTGATTAATAATACATAGAAACAGATAAAATCAATAAGAAATGACTTCAGGGACTCTGTATCCAGCCATACTACCCCTAAACCTCCCATTAAATGCTTCAAGCCATTCTTCAAAATGGCATTAGACTCAAAGACACCCAAAACATGCAAAATCCCTTTCTCTGGCCTAATGCTCCCTTCTTAACTTCAGCATCACATACCCAACTGCATCCTCACCATGTTCACTTGGCTATCGAATAGACCTCTCAAAATCACTTCTGAAACAATCATTTTTCCCTCCAAACGTGATACTCCAGGAGCAATCTCCACTTTGAATGATTTTAACAGATTTCTCTAGCTGTTTAGGCCCAAGCTTCACACTGGATTCCTCTTTACCTCTCACATTCTGTTTCCGTTTTATCTATGTTCAATATGTGTGTGGAATCTGACAATGTCTCAATTCCTCCACTACTGCCACCCTGCCCCGCACCAATATCATTGTTTACTGCATTCCCACCACAGACTTTTAACTGGTTGTCCAGCATCCACCCTTGCCCTCCTCTGAGAGTCTGTTCTAAACACAATGGCTAGTGGTTCTTTCAAAAGGAAAGTCATCTCCTGACACCTGTGCTCAAGACCCTGTAACAGTTCCTCACTTTCTCACTACAAAGTGCCAGAGTCCTTGGGTTACCACCTGGCCTCCCGTAACTCTCTGAGTTCATTTCTTATTATTCACTACCCTCCACCCCGCCTTAAGGGCTCTGCATCAGCCTTTCCTTCTGTCTGGAATACTCATCCCCAATGCATTTATGACCAAATATATCTTTCAAATCTTTGCTCAAAGGTAAAATTTTGATGGTTCCTACACTGATCATCCTACTTATGCCAACTATGGAGTGCCTCCACCTCTCCATAACCATGTACTTCCCAGTGTTTTTTTCTGTGTTCCAAAATTTACAGAAATTTACTGTCTCTCATTGTTGAAATATGAGCTTCTGGCGATAAGGGATTCTTGCCTTTTTGGTTCACTGACATATGTCAATGAGCTTAGAATAGTGCCTGACATATAACAGCCATGTTATATGTCATGTGAAACGAGTAAGACAAAAAGTATACATTGCTAGAGGCATCAAGCTTGAATAACA